GAGAAGGGCCCTCCCTCTCCGCGCCTGCTTTGCGCCCACTGCGATGCTCCGTCCCACCCCAGTCCCCTCCCGGGACCGCCAGCGGCCCGTCCCCTTGTGGGGTGTTCAGGCTGCTCCCAAGAGAGGTTGGGGGGCGGGGTAACACAAAGCGATCTGCCTAAAACCAGTTCCCCTTGCAGTCAATACACCTGGCGGCCAATTTGCCTAAAAGTCTCCCTTTAGACAACCTCAGTTAAGAATTTTTAAGATGTATTTATCAAAGGAGCATTTTCTGCATAATTTTGTGTTCTTAGTCATCATCAAAGTTGCCTCATTTGACGAGTGGTGGAGCTCTTGGTGTCAGAGGCAGTTTTGAGAGTGTGTCTGGAGACCCCTTTGCTTAAAATACCGTTTCTAGCAATAGATGATTTGCTCTCTCTAGGAGTTCAGGCAGAAATCATCGGAGTCTCCCCCCTTTGCTGCTTGTTTTGGTCTTCTCATTGTGGGTGGACGTGTGTCCCGGATGTCCTGATTAATGAGACGAAGCGATGCTGGATGTTTCTGCTTGATAGAGGCATTGACTTGTGCAGCAAAGTGGTCACCTGAGACAGATCATTGTATTTTGTCTTTTTTAAATTTGTAAGGAAGAAAATTATTTCAGTAGCTTTAAGGGGTACAAATAGTTTTTGGTGACATGGCTGTACTGTGCAAATGGTGATGAGGTCGGGGCTGTAAGTGGATCCACTACCCCACCTGTGCAGGTGATTTTTTTAAAGCTCTCTTACCCATACAGTAATATAATTAAGACAAACACATGCTGTCAGATTACAAGATGATGGAGAGAGAAATAGATATTTATTGCTAGAACTAAGCTCATTTTAAGCAAAGGATTTTAGACAAACTGGATACAGAATCTTTAAGATGTTAATATTAAAAATAGACGAGAAAAACTCATTCAATAAAATGGGGCGAATTTAATACATGAACCCCTGGAATACAAAATTAAGTCATATGTGCTCTTAAATGTACATTGAATCCAGATATCCCTAAAATGTTTAAAAAAAAAAAAAAAAAAGATGTCAAAAAGAGGACCCAGAATGAGAAAACCTTCTGGAATGGGGGGGTGGGGGGGGGGGGTGATTTCTGGAAGAACAGGTAATTAGAATGCAATATTAAGCAAACTCAGACTCGTGTTAGGCAAATTCTCTGGGGGTGGACGGGGCAGCTGCCATCTCCAGACTTAATTCCAAAGCGTCCCTTGTGTGGATATGACTCTTCTTTATCCTTGGATGACTGTCCCTGGTCTTGAGTTCTTCCTCATGCTAACTTTATGGCATTCCCAAGAGGTGGAGCTTTCAGCAGGGCTCTGATGTGACCCTCCCTGGGCATTTTCTGTCCATACTTTTATCTCCAGAGCACTGAGAAGTTCTAATTCAAATGCATCTCTGGCCATATGGGTTGTAGAGTGTCTGTCACTTATGCACTTTATTTAAATATGTAATTTAAATATTTGGAAGCCATAGGTCTAAAGTCTTGCAGGCCGATTTGGAAGCTCTTTGCTATGACACTAGCCACATGGTAAAGAGGGGTTGTCTGTCCTAGGATGCAGGCGGAGTGGTGAGGATGTGAGCAGGAGTGGTGCAGGCGTCTCTTCATTCCTTCCCTCGGCACCATCAGGCATTTAGCACCCTGGGAGCTTGCACTGGCTTCTCCAAAAACCTCATTAAACAGGACATCAGGCTGTGCCCAGGCTAAAGGGAGGCTGGTGTGATGATGCCATTGTGTTTGCAATCAGATGGGAGTGAGTCCCTTCTCAATCTCGTCCCTAGAGAGGCACGAGATGAATGCCACAGGGTTATGAGAACCACGGATATGAGTTGACTGTGGCTCACCTTGGAGGCTGAGGCATTGGGACCGGCCACAGCCCCTTGGAGGCGAGGAGGGCAGTGACTGACCTCGGTTATCGGAGGTTGTCCTTTCTGTGTCCCCCAGCATTGCGGCATCTCCTGCCGTGTGTACACAATTTACAGCATCCCCAAGCATGGAGCCTCATCCTCACATCTGCCAGCCCGAGGACCCAGCAGGCTATGCCAAATGGCTTCTCACTAGTGGACCTCAGAGCTGGCTGCCCCTATGGCCGGGGTCTCACTGCACGGCAGGGGGGCTTTGACTTGGGCTTTTTTGAAAGTTCCCAGGTGACCATACTGCAACTGGTACTGAGCACTGCAGCTTTAACAAGCAGGGATTGCAAGAGGCCTCAGCCTATCCCGAGCCCGCAAAGGGCTTCACCTTCATAAGAACATCTTGTTGTCGTTGGAACAGCTGGGGTAAGACAGCTTCTGCGTGGGCTGACTTGTCTGACCCTCAGAGGATTGCCAAATACCCTGCCTATTCCCACCATGGGGAGTTTGCACCAGAATGGGTGGAACCCCCACTGCTGCCCTAAATCTTGGGTCTCTGCTGCTTACTTGGACATTTCTGGTCTCACCCAGTCTCTACCTCATCAAGACCCATTTTCAGAGTCTCCAATGATGCGTGGACTAGCAATGGCGTGACAGCAAAGGCCTGGTGATTTCTTCAACCCCCATGCTGGTCCAGAGTGGACATGTTGGGTCCTTCCCCTCGTGTGTGCCAGCCTCATCCAGGTGCATAGGACACCATGGGATCAGCACGGGGCTTGTCCAGTGACACTCGTGGTATCTGCAAAAAAGCTCTAGTGATATGTGCATTCGGAAAAAGCCAGCAGTCGTGGGGCCAGATCTCGATTTCCTTGACAGATCTGAAGGTGAGCTTGCCACGTGTCCCACTGGGTGGAAGCTGCCTCTGTCAGTCGGCGTGTGCCATGCGAAGGACGATGACAGCCATGCAGGTGTGCTCTAGCATGGCGGGACAGGGATACCTATCCTCCTGGGAGCTTTGAGCTAGGAAAGATTTCACTTTGAAACCCCCTGAACCCGACTGAAAGAAGGCTTGTCCCGGCTTGGGTTGCAGACTCTCACTGGTCCCTTTCTCCAGACTGGGTGGCATCCCTGCCCACAGGCAACCCTTCGCTTTGGTTCCATGAGGTGGGTTCTGGCAGCTTCTGCAGCTCTGCCATGACCGACTGGCCGGGCCCATCTTGCTTTTGTCCTGAGGAAGCAGATTTACTAGTAGAAGAGTTCTGAGTCAAGGAAAGGGTGCCAAGCCTCTTTCCTGCCCTGCAGGGAGGCTTCCACTCTCGTTTTCTCATTCTTTCTGGAGTAGGCAGCAGGAAGGCCAGGCAGGCCTGCAGGCCAGGTGTGGGGAGGAGCATGGGAAGTCAGAGAGAGGTCAAGGTGCCTCTCTGCAGGGCAGTCTTGGAGTCCCCACTCCCTCGGGCTGGGGGACTCCGCAGGAGCACAGGGACAGATGTCTGTGCAAGTTGGGCCCTGCTGCCACCTGGGAGTGGGGGGATGGGAGGGGACACGGGAGGGACAGGTGGGGTGGTCTATTTGCCCTCACTGAAGAGCGAATGAGCTGAGCCACTCTGTGTGTTAGCAGCACCACCAGGTTGACTTCTTTTGGGTAAGGGATTCCTCAGAGCAGAGGAGTCCCTGATATGGCCGCGTTTATGAATTCCCCCTAGTCTGATCTATCTGGAAGCCCTTTTCCATAGCCCTGGACTATGGGACACTTGTCTTAGGATGCAGGCAGGGCTGGGCCCTACTTGTCCCTTCCCGTCACACCCACACCTTGAACAGTCCGGGCTCTCCTCCTGACCTCTCTAAACCCGTGGCATTCTTTGGGACATTTCTCTCTCTCTCTCTCTCTCTCTAACTCTCTCTCTCTCTGTGTGTGTGTATGTGTTGCTTTGAATAGCTTGCATTTGCTCACTGAGGGGTCGTTCTCCCTGCACCTCCATGTCGCTGGGGAGGAGGACACTGATGGGCACTGATCTTCTTCTCCCCTCCTGTTGGGATCCACATCCATTCTCTGCCACCTCCTTTGCCTCCTCTCTTCCTCCTCTCACCTTTTCTTCCTCGACCTGTTTTCTGCTCCATTTGTTTAAATTCCCTGGCCATCCCCAGCACCCCTGCCCCGAGGTCTGTCAAGGACATGCGGGCAAGGGGCATGTGTGAGGCAGGGCGGCCCTGTGGAGTTATCATCACATGACCTCCAAGCCTGCCCCCCACCCCGGGAATGAATGGGTGACTCCTCCAGCTTCTGTGCTGGTGGCTTAGAATTTTATCACAACCACCCCTCAGCATACACCTAGGAAGGGGAACCTGGTTTGCTCTCCTGACACGTGACAATCTGGCCCTTACTGCTGTGCCCAGGGAAGAGTCTCAGGATCTGTCCCTGCACCCCTGATGTTTATAAACTGTAAATAGTGAATTTCAAGCGGACAGGTACCTTCTCAGGGATTTATATATAAATAGAATTAGAGGGAAAGTGGAAGTCTATTTTAATACTTTGTAGCGTTTGAGTAAATTATGATCAGCTGGGCAGAAGAAATCTTTCTAAGACCGTGTCGATGCTGCTAATGACGAGAAGCCGGGTGCTGCCCTCCAGTGGGGTCTCCTTGGTTTCCGGAGGTCAGAGGGTCTGGCAGCCAGGATGGCTTTGGGGTGGACGGGAAGTCACCTCAGAGTGCCTCTGAGTTGGAGATTGAACCCTGGTGCCATCACCAACAATACAGCCCAGCTTCGCGTGCGTGGATGCAGATAGGTGCTCGTTGCTGTCCCCTCAGAGGGGTCACTCCCGGTCTGGTGTTGGAGCCTGTGGGGCAAGATTGACAGGCAGCCCAGCACTAGACTCACTAGGAAGGAGGAGGGAATGGTGTGAAGCTATGCTGGAACTGTCTCGGTGTGCAGAGTCCCTTGGCTGCCCTGGCGACATGTGGCACATGGCATAGTGGAACTTTCACTGCTGCTCAAGCTCCCCCCGACAGGTGCCAGATCTCTCCACCTCAGGAATGTGGAGGTCAGAAGTGCAATGCCTTTGTCACCCCAGCTTTGGTGAG